GAGTAGTAGTCGACTCAACAGACATAACAACAACAACATTGTTCTTTCAGAAAGGAAAACTGAAGTTTGGGGGTGGGGGTGGTAACTTTCACAAGACGGAAGAGTGAGCAGCTGGGGAAAAGGATGGGGTTCTGCTTCTAGTAAATGAAAGGAGAAATGTAGGATCCTGAAGAGAAAATAAAGATCAAACAAAACAGAAAAACTATCTTCCACGGTGCCAGGGCACAGGAGGAGCTACATGTAGCCCAGGGAGTTGGTCTGAAAGTTATTCACTTGATTCACAGGATGGGCTAAGGTCAAGAGAGCACCAGATTTTGTGAGCGCTGCAGCATTCTTCCCATTTAGCCTTGTTCAGAGCAGCCCTTGCTCCAGAACTACAGCCAGAGAGAAGGTAGGAAGCAGATACAGAAGCAGAGGTGGAGCGAGATCTGTACCTACAACTAAGGCAGGAACAACACTTTCAGCGGGGGAGTTTTGGTCTAGGTTCTTTGGCCCCACCTGGAACTTGGGGTCACATTCTGAGAGAGGTTCCAGGATAAGGAGCTTTCTAGAAACCAGATGTGGAAGAAGCACGTGTGCTCAGCTTTGAGAAGAGGAAGATGAGGGGGGAAGGGTTCAAATCTCTCTCCTATGAGGGGAATGCAGAGCAGATTATGGGTGCTAGAAGGCAGGCCTAGGCCCATGGGCAGGTGATTCAGAACAGCAGATCTAAACTCAATATGAAAACTTGTTAATTGGTGATTGAAGATAGAATGAGCAGCCTTAAAGGACAGTGAAAACTTCCTCTATGGAAGAGGCTGGGTGGGTGGTTTGCAGGGATGCGGGTCAGGGCTGTGTGCTTGAGGCTCCTCTCCAGTGTGAGCACCTGTCCTTGGCTAGGAGCATGTGTGTTCCAGGAATCACTATTTCTCTAACCTTGGGAGTGCTGTTGACTACTCCTATCCAACTTCTCTCAACAGAGCTGATGGTTTTGTTTTCATTTTTGTATGAAGCAAAGATTCATGGCATAAAACCATGATTTATGTTTTACCACTTCTGTAGCTGACTCACATCTCTGTTATAGTTTCAGTCCATTTTTAACAGCTACAAAATTGTTTCTCTGGGAATTCAGAAAGGCATATGCCCTCGCCCACACTATGCCAACAGAGGCAGCTCAGGTAACACAGAGCGGGAAAGCTCAACCAGTTGATTGGCTCATACATTCCAGTTCTGATTCATAAAGTCCTAACGGAGGACAGAGCTCCTAATACCTAGGCCTGGGCTCTGTGACCTCCATCCATGCAGTGGGGGTACAGGAAGTACTAGGAACCCCTGACTTTCTGGTTTCCAAGGCACTGAAACAAACCCCTCCTCATTTAGAACATCTGCCTACCCAACATCTCAGCAACCTGAAGCATGATCATGGGGGTTAAAATATCTGTTTTGCCTGCCCAGAGAAGCTAACAGACCTCAGTCAGGAATGAAGAGAGAAGTGAAGGCAGGGAGTAGGTAGAATGTAATCCCCCAAGAATCCTCTGCTAAGGTTTCTGAGCAGAGCTTAGAAGTTAGAGCCAGGTCCATGTTGCCAGCCTCACCAGAGCCTAATAGATCATTTCTGCCTCCCTCTGTACAGTCACATTAACTCAGGCTGTCCCATTGCCCATAATGGTTTCAGTCCTATCCCTTTTGAGACAATGAATGCAGGAGAAATTGATCCTTTATGTATCCCAGGGAGGGGGCTCTTCATTTAGGTATAATATGAACTACCCAGGGCTCCCATCTGCATGGCAGATACTGATCCACCCCCTCACCCAAGATGAAGGGTTTTCTAAAGACCTAGAGGGTGGCTGTGGGTGGGCAGGAGTCCCAGGAGAGAAGGAGCACAGGAAGGTGAAGACAGTAACCTCAGGAGACGCGGCCAGGCTTTTCTGAGTGAACACCTCCAAGCCTGCGGCTGCTCCACGCTCAGGTATCAAGTCCTGCTGAAAGGTGTCTTGGGTCCTCTGGGACTGCAAGGGGAGGCCCAGGGTCAGAGAAGAGGGAAAGACGAAGGGAAGGAGAGAGAGAGAGACAGGAAGATAGGGAGAGAAAGAAAGCAGGAGAAACACAGAGTTTGTAAACAGCCCAGCTTGCTAAATCCCAAGGTTTTGTGGATTAGGTAAGGAAGGAGATAGACTATTGGGGGCAAAATGAAAAGAGACCACCCTTCTGAGGACAGAATGGATGGAGGCCCACAGTCAGCTGCCAGCCAGTGCTAAAGCTTTAAGTCTTTTTCTCACCGACTTGCCTATTCTCAGATAAGAGCTGTTAGTCATGATTTCAACTCAGATTCCAAGTCTTCCTTAAGTGACTGGTTTACATTGCGGTTCAACCCTGTAGTTCAGCTCACAGCCCTTTTGAAATGAAAATCCAGATTTAGTAAATGGGAATAGTTCTTTATAATCTAGTGTCCTTATTTTGGTTTATGATCCCCACAGTGTTTCCCATGGCCCAGACAGGGCTCAACCATAAGTAAGGAAGCCACTGGGAAAACTGGCTGCCGAGCCCCTGCAGAGGTCCCCACAAAGGTCCTATCTGGATCATGGATTCCAGTCACCCTCAGCCACGACCCCATGACTGTCCAGCACGTCCAGTCATAATGTACTTTTTACATGCAACCTTACTGACAATCCTATGGAATAGCAATCTTGGTCCCCCTTTAGATGGACTAGATAGTGAAGCTCAGAGAGGTGACATCACTTACCCAAGGACCTAGTCCAGTCTCCTATTTATCAAATCTTCAAGGGCCCCAAATCCAGTGAGCCCTGAATGCCAGCTCTAAATAGTCCATCACTCTGATGTGAGCTCCTAGAACATGCGTTTTTCCATCCGTTGACTATGCTTCTTAGATCAGGATCCAAAGAGGACAGACTCCTCCCTTTAAGGCCCAGCTTCTAGCAGTTCCAGTTATCACCAGCAGGAGGGGCACATCCCCAAACCAGGCAGTTTGATAGCAGAGAGGCTCTCCCAGGTTCACCTGTGCTCACCTTTCTCTTCTCTTTCCTCCTGGGGTGCAAAGTTTTTGGCAGCCTCGCATCCCACCTTATCAATAGAAAGGCCAAGGCTCATCCCATTTCAGGAATGATTAGAGGCTGCTCTGGCCAAACCTTTCTCCATGCTAACTGGGTGTTAACAAGGTCATGAATAACTCACCACACGAGCCCTTTGGCTTCATCTTGGTTGTATGAGAGGTGACCACAGAAGCCCTTCATGGATGCAGAGGTTTGCCCTTCTTATGCAGCTCTGGTCACAAAGTCTATTAATAGTCCCCAAAGCATCCTTGATTTGGTTAATTACCTGCTAGAAAGCTATTAGAGTAACTCTGAGTGCGTGCCTCACTGGGCAAAGTCTTCTGTTATCTAGTCTTCTGTTATTCTAGTCAAGCTGGAAAGTGCTGATTCAATCAAGTGATCTGCTTACTAGATTACAGATGCCTCACCAACCTTCAGTTTATTAGACAGCAACACACATATAATCAACTCTACAACTGGTCTTCCCATGATCTGGTCTTGCTCCTAGGCAAGGTGACTTAGTGACCTACTGGCAACTAAGATGTCCTGGGACAAAGGAAATCAGGTTCTAGTGCCCTTCTAGATGTTTTATCCCCTGGCTGGGCCTCTATGGCCCCATTTGTAGAATTAGAACCTTGAACCAACAACCCAAGGAGCCTTCCAACAGTAAAATGGATTCTGATTGGAGGATAACTTTCTTTCCCAGGACTCTTAAAATGAAATTTAAAAATGGAATTCATCCTGGACCAGTCGGATCTGATTTGATGGCACACACAAAAAAATAATAAAACTTCTTTTTAAAAAAGGAATTCATATTAAGCATCTATACCACTTGTCAGGAACTCTGCTGACCCCTCAAACATGCTGTGTCTCTCATTTGATCCTCACAATATCCCTAGGATATAGTTACTTTCCCTATCACTACTTGATACAAGTCCAGAGAGGTTAAGTAGAAAGCACAGAGTCACTGGGTAGAAGACAGAGGAACTGGATTTCAAACCTGAGCAGGTCAAGTCTAGACCACAACTTAGGCTTGAAAACAGTAGCCAGAAATTCTGGAGAGGGAGGAAAAAAACACCCCCCTAAGCAGAAACTGGGTAAGTATGGACAAGATTTAACAAGCACTAAAAATAACAGCTTGAAATTATAAACACAGGAATTGTTAAAGTCCTGCATCATTCATCTCTCTTTTTTGAACTGAAGTGGGGGTGGAAACCCATACTTTCCACTGTGAAAGGGAGGTCATGTGGGATCCTTTTCTGAAGCATCAGGATCAGTTCTGATATTTGTGGAGGATTTGTTCTTCTCGGTAGACTCTCAGGCTCCTTTCCAGGAGGGGAATAACATTTCCGTGGAGTCAATGCTGACTTCCCAGCTACCCCACAGGACAGAGCGGAGCTGCCCCACAGGGTTTGCGAGGAGGTGATCTCTATGGAAGCAGAATGCTGCATCCTTCTCCCACCTGGTGCCTAGTGAGTGCCAACTATTAACCCTTTCAGTTAGCATCCAAGCACTTAACCACTGTACCATCAGGACTCTTTTCTTTAAGGATACCCTCCCTCCAGGAGCACGAAAGAGTCTGGTTATGAAACAGAAGTACAGGGGTTCTCAAAATTAAGTGTGTGTGGTGATTGCACAGGGCATGTGTTTAAAATGCTGACTCCTGGGCTCTGACTCAGAATATTCTGAGTACTACATAGAGCCTTTGAATTGGCATTTCTATTAAATACTCCTTCTTCATGATATTGCTGCTGAAAGGGGAACATGCGGAGGTTCTGCAGGTCTTTTCAGTTTTGCAAGTTTCAAGGCGGTCCCTGAGACCAAGATTCTCAGTGCTATCCTGTCCTCACCATCCCACTACATAACAATGGGGGAAAGTACATATAGGTGTGCAAGATGAGTCTAAGTCAGCACATAACAACTTTTCCAGTACTTCTGTTCCCATACAGAGGCATTCAGGGTAAGACCTACCTCGTTGGCTTTCTCAGGGGTGCCCTTTGGGGATGGGGAGGCAGGCGAGGAGGGCAGCCTCCGCTCACGCTCCCAGTCTCGATCCCGGTGGATTAACTTGCTGTTGGGCTCCTTCAGCGTCCTCTTGAGCTCATTAATGCTAGCTTGATGCTTCAGTAAGACGTCCTCTGGCTTGTCCAAGAACTGGGGAAGGATGGAGAGGGCAGCCAGGGTTAGAGGGACAGTTTTGCTCAGGGGATGCAAGAAGAGTGATAATGATGACAATTGTCATTATTGATGACATTCCATTACCAATGTTGGGACAACTGTCTCAACATCAACAATGGGATCCCTACCCATGGTCTTGTCAGACTCTGGTAGCAACTCTATGAAGGGATTCATCCCTACAGGTACAAGTACAGTATTAAAGATTAAAAAGAGAACTTGTCATCGAGCAGTCATCCTCTTTTCTCCTCTGCCTGACTCCTTTACCTCTGAACACCCAATTCAACACACAGCCCACAAATAAGGATGAACTCCTTTTGGTGCTATAATCCCAGTCTCAGCAGGCCTGGAGTTCACTGCTGTCAGAATATCCCTCTGTTACAAGAAAAGCGCAGTGGAGGCATCATCTGCTGGAGTGAGGGCTCACCCATCCTGCTCGCCACACTGCTCTGGCCCACTTCCTGACCTCTTAAATCATCACTCTGACCTTCAGGCCCAGACTTGGGCCACTGTGCTTCATGAATTCCCAGTTTAGTTCTATCCTAACACAACATAGGCAATTACTCAGGTCCTCTGGGGAGCCTAGAGAGCAGATATTCCTAAACCCAGTTATCCGGGGACATCTATAAAAATGAGCCCTGCGCCTACATTGGGAAACAAAGACCAGGAAAGAATGGTCTTCTCTGCTGTGGGCTGCTGCCTGCTCCAGATAGTAAGGATTTCCCAGATACTTTCCTGACTTCTCAATACTGCAGAATTTGAGATACAGCTCAAGAAATGGCATATCTATTCTAGATTCTAGATGCTGACCTGGCAAATTAGGAGAATCAGAATCCAAGAAGAGGAGGATTAAGTCCTGAGGCTAGAATCAAGAACTGAGTCAGGTACGGCTGGAGGTGTACTTGTGTCTCCTACTAAATGCAAAGTCTGAGCTCAAGTTTGTTGTGCATGACAAGCTGGTCTGCTGTGTGAGGACCGGTCTTTGTGCAGGAGGCAGCACTGACATGCCAAAGCTGCTTTGCTTTCTGGAGAGTATATTCCTGGAAACAGAGCAAGTCAGTTGGTAGCCCAGGGACTCACACCTGCAAGGCTCAGGAATGATGCCAGCTCAATTCAGGACAAGAAATAAGACAATCACAGCTAGTCATGTTGAATCAGGTGGTTATAAAAGAACCACATGGAAGGTAAGCCTGCTCTTAGGCAAGGTAAGAATGTGCCCTGGGCTCATCTCTGTCATGTAAAGACTGACTGTGGGTAATTCCTAAGGAATCTTTCTGTGGTTCTGGCTTTCCTCTCCAGAAAAAAAAATTCTCTTAGCATTGCTTTCTGAGCTGAGCTGCCCTTGTTTCAATATCCACTCTGAGCCTGCTGTGTTGGCTGTGTACTCACACAAATCCTGAAGGTGTGAGGGAACTGTAGGGTCCTTAAAGATGACAGGATTTGGGGAAATCTAGTCTGAAGGCCTGACTCTAAAGATGGGAGCCTGGGACTTGAAGGACTCGTTCAAGGTCCTCAATGAGACTGTGGCAGAACTGGTACTGAAACCCTGGTAATGTGATCCCAGACCAGGCCTGTCTTCCATTACAGCATCTAGCCTTCCTCCTTGGCAACCCAAGAAAACTCTGTTTGCTTGCCTTTCAGTGCAAAGGAAGATGTAGAAACTACAAGAAAGGGCAAGGAGAAGTGGTTAACACCAAAGAATAAATCAAAGAAAGCAATAAAAGAGAGGAGAGAAAAGAGAACATTGCCCTGACAGAGCCAGAGCTAAGCAGCAGCAGCACGCCTCACCCAGAGGAGGCAGAGCTGAAGCTGGAGCCTGAAAAGATGCACACGTGCTCAGAAGAGTCCCCTCCCATCGCACACCTCTACCCCAGTCCCACATAAAGAGGCTTGGAGTGAGATGGAGGGGATGCAGATGATATGGAGTGCATAATCGAACTGTACTCACAGGGGTGGCAATGAGTTTAAGGAACAAATCTGAGTAAAGGTATGGAGGAAATTAAAAGGTTAAAGGAAAGCATGGAGTGTCATGCAGAGCTGGTGGGCACAGGTGGGATGGTCAGCATGTGAGAAGCAAGCCAGGTGGTCTGGACAGACAGAATATGAAGCGGGCTGGAGGACAGCGGGGTGAGGAGGAAGGGAAAAGACAGCTGGTTAGGTGGTGAAGAGAGCAAGAGAGATGAACTTGACAAGGCAGGTAGGAGGATGAAGCAGGGCGTGGAGATGAAGCTGACAACAGGGTGTGAGATGGTGCAGGGAAGATGAGTGTGGGTGACAAATGAACCAGGGACATGGATGGCTGGGTAAGTAGCAACAGGTCCCATGCAGTACCTCCTGCTTGTGTCTTGGCGTGGTTTCCTGCTCCGGCTAGCGGGATGTGGTAGGAAGGAAAGGAACCAGCAGGGTCAGTAGAGCAAACAGGTCAGAGACACTGCAAATCTGGCCCAGCAGGGGATCCCAGAACACTCACACCCAAGCAGGACAGACAGGAGAATCTGGTTAGGCCACCTGCAGGGCACTGAGGTAGTCAGAGGTTGGTTCAGGGTGTGAAGCAGGGAGCTGGGACCAGGAAGGCAAAGGAGGGGGCGGAGGGACAGGAGGCAAAATAGGCAGAGTTGGGACATGAGTATGTCCAGGTGTTTGTATTTCTTGTTGATAGTGTGTCATGAGCTTGTGTTTACATGGTAAAACTGCTGTTGTGTTGTTGTTAAGGGCTGTCAAGTTGAGTGCGACTCGTGGTGACTCTATGAACAACTGATCTGAATCCAGTCCTACTTTGTGCCATCTTTATCATCTCTGATATACTTGATCCCATTGCTCCAGCCTCTGTGTCAATCCATCTCATGAGGATCTTCTCCTTCACTGACTCTCCATCTTTCCAAGCATGACATCTTTTTATAAGGAATACCTTCTCCTAACATGTCCAAAGTATGTGAGATGAAGCTTTAGCATCCTTTCCTCCAAGGAGCTCTATGGCTGCACTTTCTCCAAGACACATTGTGTTTGTTCTTTTCACAGTTCATGGGACACTCAGGACTCTTCTCCAACATTACAACTCAAAAGGCATTAATCCTTCTATCATCCCTATTCACTGTCCATCTCTCAGATGCATAGTAAGTGACTGAAAAGATCATGGCTTCAATCAGGTGCACCTTAGTCTTTAAGCTGACATCACTGCTCTTCAGTACTATAGAGAGGTCCCTGAAAGCTGTCTTTCCCAGTGCAATACATCTTTTTTATTTTATTTTATTTTTTTTATTATTTTGTGTGTGTGTGTACCGTCAAATCAGATCTGACTGGTACAGGAGGAGATTGTCCCTCCTTCCCCAGCAGAGCATCTGGTGGATTCGAACTGGCAATACATCTTTTGATTTCTTGACTGCTGGTATTTTTTTTTCCTTGACTGCTGGTATTAATGGTGTTAACTGTGGATCCAAGCAAGATGAAATCATTGACAACTTCAGTGTTTTCTCCCTCTATCATGATGTTTCCTGCTGGCCCAACCTGATTAGCCACTTTGATAAAAAGAAGCTGTCTTTGGGCTATGTATGCACACATGTGTTGTTTGTATTTCTGTATGCACAAATCTAAGTGTGAGAGAGTGTATACATCTAAGAGGGAATGCATGTGCCTGAGGTTGCTCATGACTGCTTGTGTGTAAATGTGTGAATATGTGTGTTGGGACTAGGGGGTGTATATCTATGCAGGTGCAGAGTGAGGAAGGGGCAGCAGAAAGGGACATACTTGTTCCTCACACTTAAAAGGCCTGCATGAATGACATTTGACTAGACCATGCTCTGGAGAAAAATCCAGATCTAGATCATAGTCAATGGGATAAATCAGGAGTGAGCAAGAGACCCGAGTCTGTCAAGGGACAGAGATCGGCTTTGGGGAAAGCAGGGCTAAGAGAATGAAAAGATGCCTGGGTGGGCAGCATGCTAGCCTGCCCCCACCCTGGGAATGTCCAGGCATTGAGCATGGTCCAAGGGTAGAATCTAGGATCAGCCCCCTGATCTCCAGATTGAAGAGTAAAAGAAAGCAAGGCTCCTACCTTCAGCTCCTTGATCTTGGTGGGGGTCCTGACCTCTCCTTCATCAGTCTCTGATGGCCGCCCACCAGACTCTCCATCCTCCTCCCTCTTGTCACCATCGGGTCCTGCATTGTGGTTCTCGCTGACTGAGGCTGGGCGAGAGAATTCCGCTAAAATAGGAAGACATGGGAAGGAAGTCATGTGAGACCTCTCCCAGGAGCACCAACAAAGAACCAGTCCAGTCACCTACCAACCACGTGGGAACAGAAACAATGTTTTAACACCCCAGGCTATTGAAAGATAAGGAGTCCACGGCCAGAGATGTAAAGTAGCCTTCCCAGATCACAAAGCCAGTGAGTGGCAGAGTGATTTCCTGGTCCAAGGTGCCCTTAGATTTCAGAAGCACTAGAGTTTGGATGCAAATCTCAAAATCTCAAATCCATCTCTTCTCAGTTATATGAACTTGTGTGGGTAGCACAACTTCTCATTCATATGTATAACCTATTTCAGAAAGCTGCATTAAGGAAACAATAAGCCAATGTGTACAAATATTCAGAGGAGATTGGCACTGAGTGGGCCTTCCATTAGAGTTGGTCTACAACTGTTACACCAGTTGGTCATTATTTAGCAAAACACTAGATTTTTGTGTATTGTGAGATTGAAAACTAAAGTCCTGTAGTCTGTGAATTATTTCCCTTGTTTATGAGTGAGAATGCAAGAGGATCTCTGCAATAATCTTTTTCTCACTCACTGACATTCCAAAGTACTTTTTTTCAAAAATGAGAGGGAAAGGAGTGGAGTTAGAAACTTCACAGCAGGAATTAGAACACAGGAAAGAACTCAGGCTATGCTCATAGAAGGGAGCTCTTGTGGCCAAGTGATAAGGAGCTACACTGCCTACCTGAAGACGTGTATAACCCACCAGCTACCCCAAGGGAAAAGGATGAGCAATCCCCTCTCATATGATTTACTGCCTCTGAAATTGGCTGAAGTTCAGCTATGAGTCACTTCCAACTCGACAGCACACAGCAACAACAACATGCCTGTGGAGGATGTCTCAGTGTAAAACAATTCATTTAAATGACCAGAGCACAGATTATCTTTAGGGTTGGCCTAGATTTAAGGGTATGACTATCTTTTCTATTCACATGTATTTACTTTTCAAAGTGTCCATGTATCACATGGTTTGGTTCACATAATAATACACTGTGTTGGAGACTGAAATGAGAATTGATTACAGAGGCTAAATGGAGACCTCAAGAGGGAAAGGGCAAACAGGAAGTTATAAGTCAGTTAGCCAGGAGAAAGATCCAGGTCTCTCAGCTCAGAGTTTACGCCTGCAGACTGAGGCTTACAGGTGGGGTGGACTGCCTCTGGGAACTTACTGATAGAGCTGAAGAGCTTTCTGATGCTTTCACAATCAAGGTAGGAGTCAGGCCCAAGGATCCAAGGGGCCTGAAGGGTGAAAGGGTTGCAAGCCTGGAAGAAGCCTGTCCGTGAGCACAGCTAAGAAGAGGCTGTCTTGATTGAAGAACTGTATCCTGAGCCCTTACTGATCCTGAACTATAACCTGCTGTTGTTACTAGGTGCTACTGAATCAATTCCAACTCATAGCAACCCAGTGAACAATGGATCTGAACCTGGCCCCATCCTGTTACTTCTCTAATAAAGTCCGTAACTGTGAGTAGGGTACGTGAGTTCTGTGTGGCCATCGTAACAAATGCTTGAACCCAGCAGAAAGGAAGCCAGTGAGTGCTGTGCAAAGTTTGGCTGGTGTCAGAACTGGCTTGGAAAAAAAAAAAAACACCAAAAAAAAAACCACTACCAAAAATTGAAGGGTGGAGCTATATCTATCCTTGTCCTCACAGAATTATTAGCCTTGGGCTGCTGATCTTGATTCTCTTACCTCTCATGAAATTAGAGGTTGGACACCCCCACTACGTCATTTAAAAAAAATTATTATTTAAGTGGAAGTTTTCCAAAGCATGTTTTTTCAATAATTCATTAATATTTTGCTCCATAATATTAATACCCACAATGTCTGATCACCCACCCATTCCATATTGTCTTTCCCTTCATCTATCTTAATATGTGTTTACTATCTAATAATTTATTTTCTACCCCACCCTTTCCCTCCTCTTCCCTGGTAACCACATTAGAATGAGTCTATGTGCAAACTTTTCTTCAGCTTTTTATAATAATGGTCTTATATAATATTTGCCCTTTTGTGACTAACTTATTTTATTCATGATAATGTCCTCTAGATTTATCCACACCATATAGAGTTTCACGAATTCATCACTGATTTTTCAATGTTGCATGGTACTTCACTGTGTGAGTGTGCCAAATTTCGCTGTCCATTCATTCCTTGATGGCTGCTCAGGTTGTTTCCATCTCTTTGCTATTGTGAATAATGCTGTGATAAACATGGGTGTGCAAACATGTTTGTGTTTGGCTCTTACTGTTTTAGGATATATACCTAGTAGTGGAATAATGTGTTGTTTTGTGCCACTGAATCAGAACCAACTCATAGCTGACCTTCCAGTAGGTTTTCTTTCAGAAGTTGCAAATAGCACAGGAGGAGTTTGCCCATTTTTTCCCCTATAAAGCAACTGGTGGACTCAAAACACCTGCCTTTGGACTGGCAACAAAATTCTTTACCACTAAGTCACCAGAGCTCCATAATAGTGGAATAGCTGTATCAAATTATATTTGTTGTTGTTGTTGTTAGGTGCCGTTGACTCATAGAGCCCTAAACCCTGCTCTACCCTGTGCCAATCTCACTGTTTTCAACACACCTACCCTGCTTATCCCAGTCACTGAATCAGTCCGCCTCATAGAAGGTCTTCCTCTCCTGTGCTGTCCATCCACCCTCCCAAGCATCATGTCCTTCTCCAAGGACCGGTCCCTCCTTGCAACATGTACCAAGTGTGTCAGATGAAGTTTCAGAATCCTTGCCTCTAAGGAGCAGCCTGGTTTAACCCTCTCCAGGATGAATCTGTTCGTTTTCTTAGCAGTCCATGGTATATTCGATACTTTTCTGCAACATGACAGCTCAAAGGCATCAATTCTCCTTCTACATGTTCAAATTCTTAAGGAAACATCAAACTGGTTTCCATGGGGGCTACATCATTTTACATTTCCAATAGCAGAGTATGAGAGTCTCAACCTCTCCACACTCCCAGTATCTGTTGTTTACTTTCTTACTGAACTTTGCTATAGTTGCTGAGGTGAAATGATCTCTCACTACTGCTTTGATTTACATTTCTCTAATACCTAGTGAGAATCTGGTGGATATGAACCACATACCTTTGGGAATGCAGTGCGGCTCCTTAACACCAAGCCACCAGAGTTCTCTATGCTGTAGATTAGGGTTTCTATGCTCCTAATTTTCCTCTGATGATTTTTATCATTTTATCCCTAGGTGCTTGATCTACTTTTAGTTTTTTAAAATATGGTATGTTAAGTATCTTGTTTGCATTTTCTGGAGATATCCAGTTTTTCCAGCACTATTTGTTAAAGAAGGTGCCTTATCCTCATTAAAGGGATTTCATCTCCTTGTCAAAGACAGGTTTTGGTATGATTAGTTTTCATTCTCATTTTTTTCAAGAAATGTTTTAATTTCATTTTTCATTTATTTTATTTCCTAGTAGTGATCAAGCAAGGTGTTATATACTTATCTTCTAAATACATGGTTTTTTCCTACTATATCCTCTTGGATTTTATATCATTGGGGTCTAACACTTTATAGTGTGTTTCTCTTACATTGGCCTACATATCTGTTACTGTACCAGTACCATGGTAATTTTATTACCATGGCTTTGTAGCAGGTTTTTCAATCAGGAAATATAAAGCCTCCTACTTTGTTTTTCTTTTTCAGTACTGCTATGGTTATCTAGGGCCTCATTTCTGTCCATATAAATTTGATGGTTACTTTTTTTTAATTTGGTTTGTTCTTTTTTAAATTTTATTATTTTGAGTGTGTATTGTCAAATCGGATCTGACTGGTACAGGAGGAGATTATCCCTCCTTCTCCAGCAGAGCATCGGATGGATTTGAACCACATACCTCTGGGATTGCAGTGAAGCTTCTTGCCACTAGGCCACTAGAGCTTCCCTACTTTTTTTTTTTTTTTTTTAAAAGAATGATGATGGGATCTTAACTGGGATTGGATTATAACTATAAATCACTTTTGGTAGTATTGTCATTTTCACAATATTATGTTCTCCTATCCATGAGCATGGTATATTCTTCGATTTATGTATGTCTCTTTTTGTTTACTGTAGAAGTGTTGTATAATTTTCTTTGTATAGGTCTTTTGTGTCTCTGGTCAGATCCATTCCCAAATATTTAACCTTCTTGGATGTCTAAGGCAAATGGCACTGTTTTCATTATTTCCTTTTCCATTTTCTTTACTATTGTAGAGGAATTTGACTGATTTCTGTATATTGATCTTATACCCTGCTACTTGACTGAACTGGTTCATTAAAAAAAAACCTCACTGCCTCTGAGTTGGAACTGATTCATAGATGACTCTCTCACAGGTTTCTGGGGCTGGGAATGGAATGGGAAGAATTGTCTTTCACTCTCCCTCAGAGCTACTGGTGGAAGTGACTCACCAGAGGGACATGGTCTTTAGGTTAGTAGTGCAGGTTCCTACAGACTATACCACCAGAGTTGCAACTTGATGGCACAAAGATGAAATGAGAATTGGTTAGTCAATAATTTTCTTGCTGAATCTATGATTTTTCTGTATACAGGATCATATCATCTGTAAATAAGAACAGTTTTATTTCTTTTTTGCTACCTATAGGCAATCTCCTCCCATGCAACTTACTGACTCTTTAAAGCCATTGGAGGGTGAGCTATGGGTCAGTTCTGACTCGACAGTACATAACAACAACTACTTATTATTTTAGCTAGGACTTCCAATAAAATACTGAATAGGAATGGTCATATTGGACCCTACTATACCATTTTTACAGGAGCATATGGTGTTGTGGTGTCACTTATAACTCACAGTGAACCTATGAACAACAGATCTGAACCTTGCCCTATCCTGTGCCATCCTCATGATCTCTGATATGCTTGAGTCTATTGTTACAGTCATTGAGTCAATCCACTTTGTTGAAGATCTTCCTCTCTTTCTCAGAACCTTTCCTATTGTTGTTGTAATGTGCTGTCAAGTTGCTTGTGACTCATAGCGACCCTATGTACAACAGCCCTAAACTGTCCTGTTCCAATCTCATTGTCTCAGACACACTGATACCGATTATCCCAGTCACCGAATCATTCTATCTCCTAGAGGGCGTTCCCCTCCTGCGTCTGCCCTCCACCCTCCCCAAGCATTAGGTCCTTCTCCAAGGACCAGTCTCTCCTTACAACATGACCAAAGTATGTCAGACAAAGCCTCAGGATCCTTGCCTCCAAGGAGCAGCCCGGTTTAACCCTTCCAAGATGAATCTGTTTGTTTCTTAGCAGTCCATGGTACCCTCAATACTCTTCTCCAACACCAAAGCTCAAAGGCATCAATTCTCCTTCTGTCCTCCTAGGTCACTGTCCAACTCTCTGATGCTTAACAAGTGATTGCAAAGACCATGGCCTGTATCAGACGCACCTTAGTCTCCAGAGAGACACCATTGCTCTTCAGTACTTTGGAGAGGTCCCTAACAGCAGACTTTCCCATGGCAATGCGCCTTTTAATTTCCTGGCTGCTGGTGCCAAGAGTGTTGATTGTGGAGCCAAGCAGACTAAAGCTGTGAACAATCTCGATCTCTTCACCATCCATCTTGACGCTGCCAATTGGTCCAGTGGTGAGAATCTTTGTCTTCTTGAATTGAGCCTCAATCCATATTGAAGGCTGCAGTCCTTGATCCTCTGCAGCAGGTGCTTCAGGTCCTCTTCAGTTTCAGCAAGCACGGTTGTGTCATCTGCATAACGCAGATTGTTAATAGATCTTCCACCAATCCTGATGCCGCATTTCTCCTCATAGAGCCCAGCCTCCTGGATGATCTGTTCTGCATACAGGTTGAAAAGGTATGGAGACAGGACACATCCCTGGCGTACGTCCTTCCCAATTTTGAACCATGCAGTGTTTCCTTGCTCTGTTCTGATGACTGCCTCTTGGTTCAAGTATAGGTTTTGCATTAGCATGATCAAGTGTTCTGGGATTCCCATTCTTCTGAGAGCCAGCCACAGTTTGTTATGATTCACTCAGTCAAACGCCTTTATATAATCAATGAAGCACTGACAGACATTCCTCTGGTATTCCCTGCTTTCAGCCAAAATCCATCTAACATTAGCTACAATATCCCTAGTACCATGATCCTTTCTAAACCCAGCCTGGACTTCTGGCTGCTGCTTCTCTGCTGATGTGCTGTTACAGTCGTTTTTGGATAATCTTCAGCAGAATCTTGCTTGCATGTGAAATCAATGATATTGTTCTATAGTTTCCACACTCTGTTGGGTCACCTTTCTTTGGAATGGTAACAAATATAGATCTCTTTCAGTCAGGTACGATTTCAGCTTGCTTGACTCCACAATCAACACACTAAGCACCAGCAGTCAGGAAATCAAGAGACTAACTGCATGAGGAAAATTTGCTGTCAGGGACCTTTCCAAAGTGCTAAAGAGCAATGATGTCAGTCTAGAGACTAAAGTGCACTGGACTGAGGCCACAGTCTTCTTAATTATTTGCTATGCATCAGGGGAGCTAGACAATGACTAAAGGTGACAAAAGAAGAATTGATGCCTGTGAGTGTGATGCTGAGAAGAGTAGTGAATATAGCATGGACAGCCAAGAGAACAAACAGGTCTGTCTTGGAAAGAGTGAAACCAAGCTGCTTCTTAGAGGTAAGGATTTAGAAGAAGTTCCACCTCACATGCTTTGAGCATGTGGCCAGGAGGGACTAGTCCTTACAGAAGGACATCATGCTTGGATGGGTAGTGAGACAGCACAGAAGATGACCTCACATAAGATGGATTGACACAGTAACTGGGATAATGGTGTGCTGGAGATAATAGGTGTGTTGGAGACAGTGAGACTGGCTCAGAATAGGGCAAGGTTCAGAGCTATTGTACATATAGTCACTATAACTCACAGATGACTCAATTACATACAACAACAACGTGTGCCTAATCCAAGCTTTGTTCTTTTCATTTGCTTTATATCTTATCTCCGTATCTTTTCAATCTATATGTGGAACAGATTATCTTGGAGGTTGGGCTCTATGAGGAGAAATGTGGCATCAGGATTGGAGGTAGACTCATCAACAATCTGTGTTATGCAGATGACACGATCCTGCTTGCTGAAACTGAGGAGGACTTAAAGTGCTTGCTGCAGAGGGTCAAGGACTACAGCCTTCAATATGGACTGAAGCTCAACATCAAGAAAACAAAGATTCTCACCACTGGGATGACTGACAGCATCATGATAGATGGTGAAGAGATTGAGATTGTTGACAGCTTCAGGTTGCTTGACTCTACAATCAACACTCTTGGTACTGGCAGCCAGGATATGAAAAGACTAATGGCATTAGGAAAGTATGCTGTCAAAGACCTCTCCAAAGTACTGAAGAACAACAATGTCAGTCTGGAGACTAAGGTGTGCCTGATATAGGCCGTGGTCATTACAATTACTTGCATCAGAAAGCTGGAAAATGACTACAGATGATAAAAGGAGAATTGATTCCTTTGAGCTGTGGTGCTGGAGAAGAGGACTGAATATACCATAGACTGCTAGAACATACAAGTTCATCCTGGAGTAGGGGAAGCCAGGCTGCTCCTTGGAGGATTCTGAAGGATTCTGAAGCTTCGTCTGACATAGTTTGGACATGTTGTAAGGCAGGATCAGTCCTTGGAGAGAGATGTCATGCTTGGGAGGGTGGAGCAACAGCACAGGAGAGGAAGGCCCTCGATGAGATGGATTTATTCAGTGACTGGGGTAATGGGGGTAGGTGTTATCAGAGACAATAAGATTGAAACAGGATAGAGCAGGGTTGCAGGTGACTTGAAGCCACCTAACAACAACAATATAGGCATCTGAAGGTTGGATAATGAGTAAGGATGGCAAAAAAATTGATGCCTTTGAACTGTGGTCTTGAAGAAGAATGCCAAAAGAAGAAATAAGTCTGTCTTGGAGAAAGTGAAGCTGGGGTGCTCCTTAGAGACAAGGATGGTGAAACTTCATTGAGGCATATGTATTCACTCTAAATACACAAGCATAGCACAGGTTCTGACACTTTTGTTCAGTTAAAAATGAGTACAATTTATTAAGGGTCTATGTTATGCCTAGACCTTTTCAGTATAGATAATATCTCAGTTAGTTCTTTATATAACAAAGATATATAATTTTTTTTGATAGACAAGAAAACAGGCTCCAGGAAGGTAAATAAAGTCATCCATTCATTGTTTCCTGTGTTCACCAAACAGTTGCCAAATGTCAAGGCTGAGATTTGAACTCAGATCTGTATAACTATTAATCTTCCCATTGGACCCATGTGGCTTCTGAATTTCTTACAAGCTAAAGTTTGCATATCCTGGTGAGTCCTGGGCCTTGTGGTATGCCAATATAGTAGGTAAAGCCAAGGGCCCCAGTCCTACAGGGATTAAAGTGCCTGGCTGCAAAGCTAAACAAGCTGCTGTATGGACCCACCAAGGTAGAGAAAAATGTGTCAGTCTGCTTCTGTAAATACTTACAGTCTCGAAAACTCTGTAGTGTAGTTCTACTTTGTCCTACAGAATCACTATTAGTTGGAATCAACTTGACAGGTTTTTTTCCGACACAAATTGAGACCACACATTGAGAAACCCTGGTCTTGACAATGTGGAGTCAGTTCTCACAGAAATAGCAGCTTTAAGGGAGCTCCATGTAGTTAGATATCAGTCAACTCAGAGTAAATGGGACCACAGAATGAACAGGAAGAAAACGCTTCAGCCTCCAGTCAGATAAGGCATTGCCAGCTTTGTCACAGTCACAATACACTGTTCTCCATATATGACAATAATCTGTGAATTGCTAAGCCTTCTTGGGAAAGAGGCCCAGAAAACTATATGGTTGAATCAGGGACCTCTAAAGGTCAATATTCAGGGACTGGTAAGTCACAGGTTACAGTGTCATATCCTGAGTGAGAGTAAAGCTGCAGGATGGAGTCTAAACCTCTGAGAATTACCCTGATTGGAAAGGGGTCTCTGGCTGCCATGTTCAGCACAAATAAATCTGTGGTCTATTAAACTGTGCCACTTTCGCTGCTCATCATTCTGCAGAACTTGGCATGGACTTCCGCTCTGCTCTAAATACCATTCTTAGCCCCACCTCCAATGTGAGACATACCTCCATCAAGGCTGCGAGACATCGTGTACCGTTTGCTGGAGGAACGCTCAAAGAAGGGTGCAGGCCGGTCGATAAGGGCGCTGGCCTGGCGGGTCTGTGCCTGGGTCCTCCCACTATACCGGAACTTGGAGCCCATCACCAGGAAGCCCTTAGGTGGGGGCTCAGGGGACACCAGCCTGTATCGGAGAGATGTGGTGAGGAGGGGGATAATAGTCTGTTATTAGGGATAATAGTCTGTTATTAGGTCCAGTAGCTGACTAGAGCTGGCCTTTCATCCTGTTGTCACCCCAGCAATGAAAATTCTAAAGGTCAAGGTGAGATCAGATAGCTAGATGATGCCTGGGCACCATTATTGATATTACATAGCAGGGCCACATAAAGATATCGATCCTGAAAAACTGGGAAGAAAAAAAAAATGTAGAATAAAATTTCAAACTCCTGAAGAAAAGGAAAATCTTAAAATCCAGTCATTTGTACTGGTTGAAACAAGAGGACTCACACACTCTACCCACCTTCCAAGACTAAGGTGTACTGAGATTGTCTTCAAACTGAACTGAAACTAACATCTGATGTCATCTTACAGTGAAATAACAAACTGGCTAAAACAAAACAAAATAAAAAAACCCCCAAACCAACAAAAACATCACCTGTAAGCACTTTGATTATTAAAAAGCCATCTGTGTAAATAAATGTGAATGGTTGACAATGGAAAAAAGGTAGGGAAACTAAATGAATGGGAATGGAACCACCAAAACTGACATAATGAGAATATTGTGTAGAATGTAACCAAGGTCACTGGTCACTGACCAAACTGTTCAGAAATTGAACAGGAACCTAAATTGCTATGTAAACACAAAATGCACAAAAATATTATTTTAAAAAAATACAACAGATTAACAACATGGCCCAGAAGGGAGAAAACTTGGGTGAAGGAAAAAGATAGGGGAGAGCCTTTCCCATAGTTCCTACTAGCTCTTCCTACTGCCCTTGCTCCCTTACAAAACATAAACTGTACAGAAGCATTCATGCACGCACAAACACACAGCCTCTGGTTCAACCCATTTACTTCATCCTTGGGTCAGACTTACCGGAAGAATGTGTGATGCTCAATGCAGACCTTCCACAGTCTCTTGGCTGAACGGTGATTTGGGAGCTTGAAGCCTATTGTGCTCTCAAACTGCTCATACTGAAAAAACCCGAAACCAGCAGATCAGAGACAGGGCATGGGTCTATTTTCTCCATCCTTTCTGAACCTCCTCTCAGGCATTAATAACTTTAGTGTGTTCATTCACTGATTCAATCTTAAATGAACAAAGTTTATTGAGCCCTTACTCTATGTCTGGTCCAGTGCTAAGAACTAGAGACAACATGTTCATCGACATGAACATCTGGCTGGAGAACAGAAACCAAATAAATAAACAAGGTAATTTCAGAGATTGATAAGGTTCATGAAAAGAATCAGCAGGGTAATATGACTGCAAGTAAGAGCAGAACCAGGAGTAGGATGCAGTTTTAGTAACAATGATCAGGGAATTCAAATTAGGTGACCTCTCAGCTGCATTTTAAAGGATGAAGAAAGATATATGGGAAGACAGGATGAGAATCTGAGATGGAAAGGGCTTGTGTTGGGAAGAGCTTACCTTATTCAAGGATCTTAAAGGGCCCAAGTGGCTGGAGTAGAATGGCCATGAGGTAGTGTGGCAAGAATTATGTGGGACAGGGAGGTTCCTATGGGTTTAGACTTTAGCTCAAGAGCTAGACAGGTCTTGCAAGGTTAATCAAATAGTGCTGATGGGGTGGTTTTGTTTTTTTTTGTTTGTTTGTTTGTTTTTAATTTTATTATTTTTGTGTGCGTGTACCGTCAAATCAGATCTGACTGGTACAGGAGGAGATTGCCCCTCCTTCCCCGGCAGAGCATCTGGTGGATTCGAACCGTGCACCTCTGGGATTGTAGTTGCAGTTTCTTGCCACTAGGCCACCAGAGCTCCCCTGATGGGGTGTTTTGATATCATCTAATTTAAGGGGCTTTTACATTTTCTCTGGAAGCTCTGAAGGAAACAGCCTAGAGCAACAATGAAACAGGGAAATCAGAGAGTGAGTAGGACAGTATAGAGAAGGTAAGAGATAATGGCTGTTGGTGGCTGGTGTAAGAGAGGGAGAAAGCAGATGAATTAATATATCCTAGCGGCAGAAGAAGCAAATGGATTTCTTAATGAGTGAAATGGGCAGACTGAAGGAAAAGAGGTATGGATACAGACATTTTATACGTGTGACTTTGCATGTATAGTGATGTGTCTATGTGGCTTACTCTATGTACATACTTGATTATGTACATGACCATGAACATATCTGTGTAACCTAATATCCATGTTCTTATGTGCATGTGTGTTTGCCTGCATGTACATACTTAAGGTGTGAAGTCTATGCAGTCACAAAATAAGAGAGATTTCTTCCTACTAAGAATACCATCACTCTCTTTCCATGTATCCTGAGTAGGAGAAAGTCCAGGCCCAGGGTCTATGTGTTGTAGCTAATTCCAAGATAGAGGGGTTCCCAAGGCAAGCTCACCTCCCCAGGCCGGATCTTGATATAGAAGTTACTCCTCTTGTAGGAGATCTTGAGAATCTTGGGCCAGGCAAAACGGTTGATTCTCAGCCGGTCTCGGTAGATGAGCAGCCCATTGGCACAAACACCTAACATGATGTCAATGCCCTCAGAGTCCTGTACAAGAAGATACCCGGGAATGAGAGGTCTAGGACCAAGCTTGGTGTAGATTAACCACCCACCTCCAACATCCCTCCTTATGTCTGCTGGCAAGGAGCCTTCAAGAACAAAATAGAGGTCCCCATCTTGGAGTCTTACTGACCAAGCTCTCACCTACTCATTCAGTCATTCACTCAATTATATCTTCATATACTCCCTTGTTCTTTCACTTACTCCATCAATCACTCATTCAGTCATTCACCTAATAAACACTACTGGTAGAGACCTGATGCCAGGTGTAGGCGCTAGAGACAAACCTGTCTTCCTCATGTTGTTCCACATTTATTGGTAGTATAATTAAGCTCCTAAACAAATACAGTACAAGAGAAACTTATAAACCCCTCTGAGAAGATCTGATAGTTCACCAGAGGCACCAACTCTGATGCTCAGGCAACCGTGGAACCCACAAGCATTTGGCCCAGCTTTTGGCCCAGCCACAAGTGGTACCTTGGCATGGTGCAGGTCTACCCCATACATGGAAAGCTTCTTGGCGTTCTCTAGGAAGTGAATTTCAGCTTCTCCTGGAGTCATTCCCCTGAGGGAAAGAAAGTGATCACAGGTGGATGGGGGAAGGCTCAGGCATGCTGGCTGAGGGTGGCCACAGTTGGAACCTATGATTCAGGAAGGCAAATGCTCTGGAGCAGATGTGTGTCTGGGCCTCCTCCATCCCTCCCCTCTGCCCTCAGTGTGGGAAAGATCACCCCAGCCCTCTTCCTTCAGTCCACTCAGCCCCTATTTTCTGCTATACCTTGGTCTCAAGCTGGTTTACTCCAGAAAACATTTCAAGGTCTAAGCTAGGAGTTGGGATTTGTGCCTCATTCTACCCTGGAGTTAAATGAGAGCTATGAATTCTGACTGTGAAACCACTGCTGAAGGCATTGTTCACAACAATCATCCAGCTGCTATTCAATTATTACTCATATAAGAACTTCCCTCTCAGAATTTCGTATTAGAAATCACTTCATCTCACTTAGTAACAGGTCAAACTCTCCTTTCTGCAAAGAAGACTTATGTAATTAATCAAGCCCTTTCTTTACTTTGGCTGCCACAAAACTTGGAGTAAATTTTATACATAGTCACAGCAAATATTTATTGAGTGCTATATGTGTTGGTTACTGTTCTAAATGTGTATTAACTCACGGAAACCTCATAAGAGACCCAAGAGAGGGGTATTATTACTATTCTTATTGTACAGATTTAAAAATTATGGCTCAAAGAAGTTGATTAACTTACTCCTGGGCACACTGCTGTTAAGCAGCAGAGGCAGCATCTCAATCCAGAGTTTATATTCTTCATTATTTTACTCTATCTGTCTTTTATAGTCTCTGGGCCTCTCTTTCCTCTGCCCTATCGAGTTGCTATGTAGGACACTTGGACACAAGATGCCAATAAGCCTTACTTAGATCAAAAGAGCTACACAAAATAAGAAAGGGATGGCTATTAGCAATTCTCAAGGTCATACTGATTGGAACCTCTTCCTGAATCATTATTACTCTTGAAAGTCCCTAACATAAATTGCTAGCTAGGACAGGGATGATAAACAGATGACAACGAAGCCAACTGCTAACTAGCTAGTTATACAGTCTCAGTATCCTACTCAACATGATACATAGCAGGCATCACTAACCAGTTAAAGTTGGCATGTAAGTCCATTACACCTTCTGACTTTCTACCCCATGAATATGATATCCTAACATTTCATTCTGATCATCTTCAGATCCAGCTCACAAGACCAGCCCTCTTCATTCTCTTCCTCCTCATTCCCAAACCAAGCCTACTACCATCGAGTCATTTCCTACTCATGACAACACTCCATCAGGTTTCTGGGGCAGTAAATCTTTACAAGAAGATATCAGCCCTCTTTCTCCCCTAGAGCAGCTGATGGATTTGAGGTGTCAACATTTCAGTTAGCAGTCCATACATAATGCACTATGTCAACAATCCTCCTCATTGCTGTGTACCAGGCAGTTGGAACCAACTCACAACTAACCCTCTAGTGGGTTTTCAGAGGCAATAAACCACACAGGAGTCAACTGCTTATCTTTTTCTTATGGAGCAGCTGGTGGACGCCTTAGGGTTGGCAGTGCAGCTCCTTACTACTAGGTTACTAGAGCTCCCTCATCTCCTAGTCGTCCTGATTAGCAGGGAGATAATGTCCTTCTCACATGTTTAGCACTTAACAGTTTAGAATGTACTTTCACATAATTTATTACATTGAATTCCCATAACAACCCTTGACTTAGCACCCAAAGCACTTCCAGTTTAAAAGGACCCTAGAGGTCATTCAGTTCAAGGGGTCTCCCTCAGAAAGTGGTATCACCTTCACAGCAGGCATTTGGAAATGTGTGTAGGGGAGTGCAATTGCACTGTTACAATGATGGAGAGGATGTTCTGAGTATCTAATGACTGAGGTCCATGGATACTAAACATCCTGTCCCATAAACCGACAGTTTTAAAACACTGAAAATCTAAGGTTATGCATGTAAGGGCAAAACCGTGGCTCAGACAGATTATATAAGCAGCCCATGTTCATATATCCAATTAGGTATCTCTTCCAAAGCATTTTTTCCACTATACAATCAACTATTCAACCCTTCAATTCACATACTGTATCACCCATATGGTGTTTCTTTAACATATGCCATGCCATCCTCCTAACAATCCTGTAAGATAGCTTTCATTAGGACTCACAATGTAAGGAAGAGGAAACAGAAGCATCTCCATTGTCATCAAGTTTATTTTGATTCACAGCAACTCAATATAAAGAGTAGAACTGAACTACAGGGTTTCCAAGGATGGACTTTAGAGAAGCCAACAGCCCCATCTTCTTCCTGCACAGCCACTGGGTAGGTTAGAGCTGCTGACCTTTTGGTGCTTAAGCACTGTGCTACTAGAGCTCCTGAACTAAATAACGGAGAAGTGAAATGACCTGCCCAAGATCGCCTGGTTAGAAACAAGTGACAGAGCCAGAATTTGAACTCAAGCAGTCTGGCTTTAGAGTCTAAATTCTTGAACTTTTTTTTTTAAATTTTATTCTTTTGTGTGTGTGTATCATCAAACGGGATCTGACTGGTACAAGAGGAGATTGTCCCCCCTTCTCCAGCGGAGCACTGGTGGATTCGATCAATACGCCTCTGGGATTGCAGTGCAGCTTCTTGCCACTAGTCCACCAGAGCTCCCTAAACTCTTGAACTTTTATGCCACGATCTAAATATATGAACATTTATTCAAGGTCAAGAAAATGAGGCCCTAAAATCTACCACTGGACTGCTACCTGCAGAAAGCTGAAACAGAATCCACACCTCATACCATACACAAAAATCACCTCCAGGTGGATCAGAAACTTGGGAGTAAAGCCGAAACCCATAAAGTTCATAAGAGATAACCTGGGATCAAGCTTAGAAAGCCTAGTCTATGGTATAACGAGACTGCCAGATATAGCCAGAAATACACAATCTGAAGAGGACAAAATTGATGAATGGGACCTTCCAAAGATTAAATCCCTGTGTGCATCAAAAACTTTTTCTAACAGAGTGAAAAGAAAACCTACCGACTGGGAACAAACACAAACATTTGGCAATACCATCTCAGACAAGAGTCTCATAACTAAAGTTTATAGAATACTTCTAGGCCTCCACAAGAAAAAAAAAAGACTGATAAACCAATAACAAAATGAGCAAAAGACATGGAAAGAATTTTCACAGAGGAAGATATTCAAATGGCCAACAGACATATGAAGAAATGCTCCAAATCACTGGCATTAAGAATGACGCAAATCAAAACCACAATGAGATACTACCACACTCCAGCAGCAGTTGCAAAGTTTAACAGGACAGCAAGTAATAAATGTTGGAGAGGATGTGGCAAGGTAGAAACTCTTATACATTGTTGGTGGGACTGTAAAATGATACAACCACTCTAGAAGGCAGTTTGTTGCTTCCTCAAAAAAGCTGAACATAGAAATTCCATATGACCCAGCTATTCCATTGCTTGGAATATACCCCAAGAAAATGAAAAGTGAGGCTCGAATGAAAACTTGTACACCAATATTCATAGCAGCATTACTCACCATCACAAGAACATGGAAATAGCCCACATGTCCAACCACAAATGAATGGATTGAGAAGTTGTGGTACAGTCATACAAAGGAATACTACACAGCCTGCAGTAGCAATGACTTTGTAAATTACTACTTAATTTGAGAGGGACTGGAGAGCATTACGCTGAGTGAACTACCTCAGTCCCACAAGGAGGAATACTGTATTATTGCAGAATAAGTATGAGGATCCAAGGGGGGAAGGGTGGAAGCAGAGGGGTGAGGATGGATGGGGGGTGGGATGTGGTGGGGTGTTAATCATAGGGTTGCACAATCAATGAGGGGTGAAGGAAATGGGAAGGATCTTTTATGAAAAACAGTGTATTCAAACTTTGTAAATAAATCAGTATAAAATTAAAAAATAAATAAACTGAGGCCCAAAGGGACCATTAAAGTCACACATCAGGTTACATCATTCCGATCTGACAGAGGCTTGACTGACAGGAAAACAAGTAAATCTTTGGTGGTTTAGATGCAGCTGAAGATACAGTGGAAAAAGCTGAGGAAGTTTTTTTAAAAAGAAACATACAATGTTGCCATTGTAATGAAGCCTGAAAAAGAGAAAATGCCTGGTGGTACTTGAGGAGCTTGCGAGTTTTTTGCTCAATAAACTTAAAAGACCACCTCATTTCATTGTGTCTAGCTATACTAACATCATGATGATTAAGAGTTACATATCCTTTGCGCTTTATGTCTTCCAGACCTGTTGGATGTGAGCCTAAGCAGCAGATGATGTATGCTGGGAGTAAGAAGAAACTCATCCGAATATTTGAACAAATCAACATACTTGAAGATGTAACTGAAGAATGATTATATGTCAGAGACTCAATGAGATAAGGTGATTTGCTCTCAGACACAAGTCAAGTTCAAGGAGAAGTCAGGTGGGGCTCCCACAGGACAGCACCTAGGGACCATGACCTTCATGGCTTCTAGGAGGGTTCTAGCCAACCAGCTGAGGAGCCAGGGAAGGTCCTGGGATGCAGCTCTCTTACCTATAGGTCTTGTGCAGCTCCATGATCCTCTCCTCCAGCTCCCGGGTCTGGTTAGGGGCGAAGCGGAGCTCACTGACATAGTTGCCCACATGCTCCTCAGCATCGTAGTCACCCAGCTCTGCCTGCACAGCGTAGGAGCCTAGCAGGGCATGAGTGACAAAGGAGCAGGGCAGCCGGCCTGTGATGATGTCTGCCCGTAGCTGCAGGCACAGGTAGTATCTAGAGATAAGAGAGAGTGGGCATAGGACAGGGCTCCACTCCCTCCCTAAAGACCCTCAAGCCCATCAACCCCGTCATAACCAAACTAGTCAACAGACAGCTCAGCAGAAAAGGCATGATCCTTATTATAAACATTTCGTGTGATGATGATTTAGACGGCTTTATAAAATTTTTACAGACTAAGTACTTCTGTTCAATTTTCTGTTTGAGTGATTGTTTTCTACTTGGTGAAAATTTTTATTTCCTTTCAACTCTGTTCCCCCTCCTAAAAGAAAAGAGGTTTACTTCATTGGTTTGGCCATCTTTGAAAAAGTCACATATTTTAAATGATAACAATTAGAAGTTTCATCATAGGGGAAAAAAACAAAACTTAGAGAACACTTGAAATTTCCTTTTGATACCCATTCTTATCCTAACCTCCTCCTTAGAGGTTACCACTGGGATTGGAGTGGTAGTCTACACCTTTCTTCCTCCACTGACATTTAGAGACCTATAAAGTTTTGCTTTAGGGGTAGTGATTAGCCCGGTAAATAGGATCAAATGTTACATCTGAGTCTACACCCAGCTACAAGTCTTACAGTTGTTCCATGTTAGTACATGTCTTCGGCCTAATTCCTTAAACTTCTATACTGTATTCCATTGTCTGGGTGGACCTGTTTGCCTATGCATTCCCAAGACTCTATTATTTTGCCTCCAGCTTTGAAGTGAATTGTGTAAAAGTAAATTGGCTTAAAAGAAATATTTTCAACCACTAGGTCATGATTTTTTATCATTTATATGCACACTTGAATGGTTTTACAATTTTCAGAACCACTTAAAGCCATATTCATTGCTTTCTTGGTTGTTTTGTATTAAAAAAAGGTCTCACTTTCAGTCATTTAAGCCTCCTTGCCCATTTCCCCCCCTCCCCTGTGCCTATTCTCTTCTATTTAAGTAGCTTTGGCTTAGTATCCTTTCTTACAGAGTTGTGACATTACTTTGCAGTCAGAACTGAAGCTCTGGCAAAAAAGCATGCAGCCTCAGTACGTGCTCAGGGGACAAGGCGTAGGTTCAGAAGCAGCTGTTTAAATATCTGAGGCACCAAAGAGTGGGTGTATGGGCAATTTGCTTTAGAGTCTAAAAACTCACAAATCACTGTCAAGTACTCTGACCAATCTTTCATTTCATGCAATTTGTTATTCGGACCAATTTATTTTTGTCCTCACTATTTTTTACTATATCAGCTGCTACCACCATCCTATGGTCCTGTGGCAGGGCTAACTTTCCATGGCTCCAGGCTGGACAGGGCTAACTTCCTTCCTGGTATTACTGAAAGCCTGGTCCCTGGGAACTGGTGCAAAGAGAGGCACCAGTGGGCAAGGACTGAGCTGTTACTGCAGCTACCCAGGGATTAGGGGCTGAGGGCTATGCTGGTTTACAGTTCTCAGCTTTCTTGGAATGGACTTCAGAACCTGCTGCTGTCACCCTGGCACTCAGCTGATGATCTTGGGACTTCTAAAGAGTGCACAAACTAAAGAAAAACAAACCAAATTAACCCCATTCTGGAGTAGACTGACACTGAGAGAGCCTGATCTGATCCAGAACCATCTGTCTTATCTCCCAAGGCATCATAACCTTGGCCTGTTGTCTGGCAAACAGGCAGTTAACAGTATGATGGGACTGTTGGGAGATGGAAGCTTGCTTAGGAGCCTCACCTCTGCTGCAGAAATAACTGCAAGCATGTCAATCTTATGGGTGGAGGGCATATAAGACCCATCATGTAGATGCCACTGTCCTAATTATCATGAAGTGAGACTATTTTTGGAAAAGATTTAGATACAGAGAAGAGCCTTCTGGTATATTGGGTTTCAGAGGCAAGCTAAGCCTATGGAAACTTCCTAAGGAATGCTCTGTTTCTCCCTAGGGTCAAGCCTCCTTGAGTTACTGTGCATTCCCTTCTGATATCTCCAGCATTCTAGTGCATGGCCCTGAAGCACAATGAGGCAAAGCATGCAAGCCTCGTTCCCCCAGCAGCCTATGGGTTTCTTCACTCACAGCCTCATGTGCTCATGATACGCACAGAGTGGCATACAAGTTGAACCATGTACAATGACAACTGTACTCTCCTCCCACATCCCCAGAGGTGAAAACTGGGGGTCTCCCCAGCACATCAGTCTTAAGATTGTTTGGTTTTTCTCATTCAAAGATGACACACATAATGTCTTTTAAAAGCTTGACTAAGTTGCTGACATTTAACAATCATGATTTTTTTCAGCCCCAAATTTCTCTTCAATGATGATTTCAATTCCCTGTGGCAGTGATTACTCAGAACTAGTCTAGAAGGGGTTGGCTTCCTGTAATATGTTTTCCGGTAAAGTCAAGGGTTGGCCGTCACTGACCATTGCGTATGTGCTGCCTGCTCTCTTTGTTAAGGCTGCCTGCCTGGCCTCCTCTGAGTTTGCCACTGTTGTCATGTATGGTTCCAGGTGTCCCCAGGTCAGGTGCCCTTATCTATGGTCACACAGAGTCAGCATGTCTAGCTCATCCCTGTATAGCCCTCACCTTGTGATATCTTCTGTCAGCTGGGCAGGGTCAGGGGGGTAGAACTTGACTGTGAAGGCAAAATTCCAAGGGCTACCTATGAAGAGAACATGGAGAAGAGATCAGAGAGGCCCCAGAACTTTGGTGGGTGACCCAGACATACCTTCTTATGAACAAGTCTTTTATATCTATAATCTCAGTATAATCCACTTATTATCTCCATTTAACAGATGAGGAGAATGAGGCCCAGGTTGAGACCTATGAGCCAGCAGGCGAAAAGTAAGGTAGAAAGAAAATTCATACTATATACCAGACACAATGTTTACAGACAGTCATTTCTCCAAACATCATGACTTTACAAACATCATTTCCCCAAACCTTACTGAGTTTAGTCCTATGATTATTCCTGTTTTGGGAAGGGTGGACACACTAATGTTCAAGCAATAAAAGTGGCCCATTGAAGATCATCCAGGCATGAGAGGGTTCAAAGCCAGGCTACTTGGACCCAGTTCTTTCCTCTTTACAAAATGTCTAAGCCACAGCATATTAACCAGTAGGAAAGACATCTACAAAGTATCACACTAGATGGGCTTTAAAGTTTTCAGAGCCTTAACTATGTTGCTGTGCATTGGAACTCTTTAGAAAAGACACAGCATTTAATAGTTTCCAAAGTCACTTGACCTGCTGTATCCTTTTTCACAGAGCATCTTCAGAACACATTTTGACAAACACTGTCTTATACTATGCAATTCCACATCAGACAGAATAATCACATTATAAAAGAGACCTAAAAAGGAAAAAGGGATGAACCAAAAGTCACAAAAGGACACTTTACAGAGTTAAGAAGCTAAACTCTGCTTTTGGATGTGAAAAATCAATGGCACGCTCATAAGAAGGTATAGGTAAGAATAAAAGCAAAAATTTTAGCTGGAAATAAGTTCTGTACGCCAAGAGAAAAAAAAATGACTGCTTAAAAGAAAGTAAAGAGAGGGAGTGGGGATAGGAAAAGAGCCCATTGGGATGAGGGAAAGTGGAGGGAGAGAAGAGGACAGAGAGAAAAGGCAGGGGAATAAAGAAAAAGATATGAGACTTGGGCAAAATTAATGTAAATCAATAACCCAGAACAAGGAAGGGCACTGCATGACTGCACTGTGGTCAGACTGCTCTAAGTGTTCCTGGGATATTTTGAGTTCCATGATCTAAAAGGCCCCTGACAAAAGGAGGCCAAACCCAAGACACAGCTGTGGTCATGAAAGGTACATGTTAACACTCTGTCCCTATGGTCAGCACCATCATCACCATATACCTGCCTTATATTGAATATAAACTAAGTGCTGGTCATTTGGCTAAGAATTTTATGTGCATCTATAGACATCCACTTCCTAAATAACATGTCTCTGGAAACTCTATTAACTTTGATAAATGTTGATAGTTGTAGAGGGGCTTCAGGCCTTTTTGGTCATAGAGTTGTTATGAGTTATGCTCGACTCAAAGGCAATTGACAACAACAACAACAACATAGGCACTTAATCTTCAAAATCACCCAGAGGCAGACATTCTTTTTTTATAGGTGAGGGCTCTAAGATGTTAACCACTCTCAGGGCCACTGAGCTAATTAATCATGGTAAAAGGGGATCCAAGCCTTGGTCATGTGACCTCAGAGACCAGGCTAGTAACAACTGTCACCAAGGGATATTTAGCCTTAGAGGAGAACAGACACTGTCTGAGGAATAATAGTAATGTCTAGTACTAATGTGTACTGGCATTGCTATAGGTGATTTACACATAATAACTCATTTAGTAGTCACAATAGTTCTAAAGGTTAAGAACTACCATTATTCCCATTATACTGATGAGAAAACTCTGGCCAGACAATTAAACAGCACAGGAGCAGTGGCAGAGCCAGGATTCAAATCCAAGCAGCCAAGCTCCAATTTCCACTGTTTTAACTACCCCAATCCTACTGCCTCAAGGGAAGAAACTAGAAGACATCTACTGAGTAGATGTCCATACATACATCATTTAACAATTACACCCATTTCTTAGGGCAAGAATTACTAAAATCTATGAAGAAGAGGAGGGCTAAGAAAGGTGAAGGATTTGCCCCTGGTACCTAAGTGATGTTAACACCCATGGTACAAGCAGTCAGGAAATAAGGAGATGCACTGCAATGGGAAAATACGCAGTTAGGGACCTTTCCAAATTATTGAGGAGTAATGATGTCAGTTTGAGGACTAAGGTGCATCTGATTCAGGCCATGGTCTTTCTGATTACTAGCTATGCATCTGCGAGCCGGACAATGAAGAAGGACGACAGAAAAAGAATTGATGCCTTTGAGCTGTGGTGCTGGAGAAGAGCACTGAACATTACATGGATGACCAGGAAAGCAAATAACTATGTCTTGGAGAGGGTGCAGCCAGAGTGTGCTTTGGAGACAAGAATGATGAGGCTTCACCTAACATACTTTGGACATATTGCTAGGAGGTGCTATTCCTTAGAGAAGGACATGGTGTTAGGAAGGGTGGAGGGTCGGCAAAGGAAAGGAAGGCCCTCAACCAGGTCGATTGACAATGTGACTGCTGCGATGGGCTCTTGTGTGTCAGGAAGTGCGAGGATGGCAAGTACAGGACTGATTTCAGATCTTTTGATCATAGGATCACTATGAGTCATACTTGACGCAACAGCACCTGACAACAACCACCACCACCACCACCTAAGTGATGGGTGTCAAGGTTTGGGAGCTGCTGTCATTAGGTGCCATCAAGTTGAGTCTGACTCACAAGTGACCTTCTGAACCCTGTCCTATCCTGTGCGGTGCTCACAATCTCTGACACACTCAAGCCCATTGCTGCAGTGACTGTGTCAATCCATCTGGTTGAGAGTCTTTTTTTTTTCTGTCTCTCCATCTTTCCAAGCATAGTATCTTTCTCCAAGCCTCTCCTAGCAATATGTCCAAAGTAAATGAGTTAAAGTAAGATAAATAGAAAGTGAGATAAAGTAAGCTTTATCATCTTTACTTCCAAGGAGCACTCTGGCTCCACTTTCTCCAAGACTTATCTATTTGTTATACTGGCAATCTATGGGAATATATCCATTCAGTACTCTTCTCCAACACCATAGTTCAAAGGCATCAATTCTTCTTCTATCATCCTTATTCACTGGCCAGATTTCAGCATCATAGCAGGTGACTGAAAAGACCATGGCCTGAATCAAATACACCTTAATCCTCAAACTGACATTATCACTCCTCAATAATCTGGAGCAGTCCTTGATTTCAGATTTTTCCAGTGCAATACTGGGAAGTCCAGGACTCACAGTCAAAAGACTGAAGGACAGCATGAAGAAAAGAAAAGAGTTGGGGGGAGGGGAGAGGCTCCACTGGGATCCCAGAAAGTAGAAGTAAGTTGAATGGATGGTAAGACAGACTGAAGCCTGACTGAAGGAGGCACTTGCTCAAGATCAAGGCTGCTCCCCAATGACTCATTTATGCTCACAAGGAGGAAGCATTCACAAAGCCTGAGCTGTGGTGACAGGAGCTGTGAAGATAGCAGGCTGGACTTGCTGCCCTGGGGTGGGCTGTTGAGGCTCTGTGATTTTGTCCAGCGGCTTCTCTTTTTCCAAGTCCCTGGTCCTTATCAAGCACTGCACACTCAGCTGCCTGTATGTGCTCCAATTCTTTCAGGCATGAGAAGCAGGCCTTCCAGCTGGCCTGGGACTTCTGGGGGACAGCCTGGAGCCTAGGCCTAGGACCCTGTCAACCCCAGAGGATCATTCTCTGTGTGCCTGTCTCTTTGTCTCCAATTGATAGGAACCTAAAGGAAGAATTCCTCAAGCCCCCTCCTGCAGAGTCAGTTGGCATCTCTGGACCCAGCTGCCTGCTGTCATGGCAACAGGCTCAGCTACAGTTTTGCAGCCAGGGGACCAGAGAATCCAGAAGCGAGCAAGCACAGTTAAGGGGAGGGCCTATGGGGGAGGTATGTCTGTCTCATGGTCTCTGCTTATTCCACATTCCCTTTCTGAGGCCACCTACCTCCACCTTCTGCCATCTGAATGAACACAGCCCTATCCCTCCTAACATGCCCTTTCTCTCTGGTCCAGAAAAGACAGGTTGTCAACCTGCTTATCAGCCTTCGCCCCAGGCCTTGAAAAGAGCACAGGGCCAGTATTTACGACCTAAGAGTGCCAATACTTCACTCTGACATTGGGTCAATAAGTGAATCTCTCTAGGCCTCAGCCACCCATCTCTAAAGACAAGAGTTGGCCAAGATCAGTGACAGAAACAGCTTTCACTTGATATTTTAATGTCTATCCCATTGGCAGTGGCCTAGAGTGCTGTGTGGATAAGGATTCTGAAGCTGAGTATAGGGTCACTGAATACTGATACATGTACCAGCCCTGGTGAGTGGGTGTGTTCTAGCACCATTTGTCCTCTTGACCTTGAAACCTCTGCAGGTCCTTTCTAGGACTGATGTGACTTGCCCTGTGACTTTGGACAATAGTTTTTCTTTTCTGGACCTCAGATTTCTCCTAAAATAATGGTACACAGCAATTTCTGCCCTGTCTTATCTAAGCTTTGACACATGAAAACAAAGGAACTCATGGATCTGAATATACTTTCCAAAGCAGAAGGCAGCAGCAAAACAGGGAGGTAGCAGCACAACCAAGCCCTCCAAGGCCTGGGTCCCCAGCTCCCTACCACCACAGGCCCAACCACAACAAGCCACTCACTCCGGATCTGCTTCTTGATTTCCTTGGAGGGGTCCAGCCAGTTCTGAAAGAAAAGAAAGGGTTCTTTAGAGGAAAAGATGGAGAAGAAGGTCCAAATAGGGCTTGGGGTGACATTCTGAAATGGGTCTATCAATAGCTCCCAACGGGGAACATTTTTCGCTGGCTACACTTTTTAGCCCCTTTCCCTTGGGACTAGGAGGTTGGGGAATAAAAAACACATTTTCTGGTGTCCTATCATGGTGTCCTAGGACTGGCATTGCCCTGGGCAGTCAAGGTAAATAGCTCATACAACTGAGGTGGAGCTGGCAAAAACGGTAGAAACTCAGGCAGGAGTGTCCCAAAGATGAGGAAGAGGCTCTTGGGGTGAAAGTTCCTCAGTTCCCGCAGGCAATTCAAGCGTCCATGCAATGTCTCTCCAAATACTCATCTAAGGATGACTTATGGGTCAACAAGAAAGGAAGTCATAGCCATCAGGAGTAGATCTGGGAGGGAGGCAGAGAGCTGGAAAACAGACCAGGCTGGCTGAACCTTGGGGACATGCAAATAACAAAGGTCCAAAAAAAACTGCAGGACTAACGGAAGCCGAGGGATGTGGTTAAGACTAAGGGGTCTAACCTTCCAAAGCATGCTCTGCCCAGCCCCACCCCAAGTACCTTCTGGCTGTCAGCATCACAGAAGGTCAGGCCAAAGTAGTCTTTCTCCAGGAGGTTGAGATGCTCACATACCAGGTCAAACAGCACTTGGCCCCGGCCATGTTTCTGAAGAGAGGAACAGAGCTGTTGTGAGATTGGATCCACCTCAGAGTGGGCAGGGAGCTATCTCAGGCTTTACATCAGCAACTGAGAAAACTCATATACGTCCTGATCTAGAGAAAACATCAGCACTTCTGCCACCTACCCCTGGCTCTGCTCTCGAAGTTCAAAGTGATCCTGGGATGTGGCACTAACACCCAGGCTCATCAACTACCTTTCTTCCAAACTCTGATGAGGTTCAGACAGATCTTGGACTTGGTTGGGAGGAAGCTGGGGTTGAAGTGTGGAAAGTGATTCATCTTCCATTACAGCAATCACAGGAGGCTAACTTAGATCCAAGAGGTAGAAAAATCAAAGTCCTAGGTTTGGGGTATGATATGAAGAGCAGAGCTCCTTGAAACACGAAGGAAGTGAGTATAGAAAGAAGAGGAAGATCTGGGACTTAGTTAAAGTATGCCTCTCTTTTCTCAGCCACTTTTTCACACTAAGTCTGAGTGAAATAAAGGCAGCCCAGGTTAGAGTGTCTTCCCCTATTTGGGCAAACAGTAGGCCTTTTAAACAGAAGAGCCAAAATCAACTCCATCTGGTTATATCACTATTAAAGAGCCACCTTCTTCCCTGACCCCATCCCTAACCAGATTTTTCTATCTCTCTGTACTAATATCTAGTCCTGAGGACTCAATGACAAAATGCAAAACTTCTCTGGGTGTTCCAAACCCACAAGTATAAAATATCAATAAAGGAATCACGGAGGAAGGGGAGTGAAAGGCAATCACTATTCAAAGGTAGGAGACTATTCAAAGATAGGAGACTCCAGAGAGAGCGAATGAGGTCCCTGTGGGATTGAGATAGGGCACTAGGGCTTAGAACCAGCCTGACGGTGCTAAATCATGTCAGGAAACTGCTAAGCCTGGAAGAGTCCATCAGAGAGAGTAGATCTAGCCTCATGCTAGATCAATCCTCTTCTTAGGCAGGCTGAAACAGTATCCTGGGGCTGGTATGGACAGAAGGAAAAAGGTAAGAGGCATTCCTTTCTATTGCCTCAGTAGTACAAGAGGGAAGACATTCACTCTGAAACACATTTATAAAAATAAGAAAACAAAACAAAACAAACAAACAAAAAAAGAAATGGAACCAACCAACCAAACCAGCAGCGCTGAAGAACTTAGCCTCCCAAGGCTCAGAAGCAAGGCAAGTCCTTTAAAAACACAGCACAGACAGGACTCTCTTATACATTGCAGTGGTGAGATCAGCTCTGAACTCCTCTACACACATGCAGAAGGGTCAAGCTGGGGTGGAATTTCTAAGGGAGAGGGGCTGAGGAAGGATTCAGAATCACTGTGGATCTGAATCTATATAGGAAAGGAAGACATTAAATGTGAGACTAGAAGGCCCACCCTCAGGGGGGAACACCCGCCCTGACATCTACAGGACCATGCTACCAAGTTTTTTTCACAGACCCTGGTTAAAGGTCCTTCTACCGGGCTGTATTCCAATGTCTGGATAACACATTTATTACAAACTCTGAGGGGGTTCATTGGCCTAAAGACTTAGAGTTGGGTAGTTTAAGGGTTTCCTAAGAAAGGGAAGACTTCTCTTTGCACTCCATAAAGAAATGTTTTTAGTTTAAACACCAGTGTCTTTTGGGTATTATGGAAAAGGCCAGTTCCCAGGCCTGATCTTACTAACCAGACTGCAGACAGTGCCTACATGGTGCCATCCTTGCCAAGGCACAGTCACCCTGAGAAACCTTTCCCTGGCACTAGCTCTGTGCCTAATCTAACTTTATTTACAGTTTCAACAGCCTTCTCTGAGCCTCAGTGCTGCCATCTGTACAAAGGAGGCCTGGCCAGGTCATCTCTACAGGGATCTTGCAATCAATCCAGGACTTCATGAAGAATGAATATCTTTGGGCTTGGCCAGGCTGACAGCATTGCTCTGGCTCTCTAAGGCCAAGTAGCCAGGTGCCGAGCGCTCCCTTACCTCCACCTCACACTCATACTCGGAGGCATCGAGCAGAGTGACCCGGCAGATGGCACTCTTGTATTTCTTGGCAATCTTCTGGGGCGATTTCTGAGCCCTGCTGGGCGTCGTCCTCTCTGACAGGCCATCAGCCTCACAGTAGTCCTTCTCCTCCATGTCTAGGCTCTGTGGGTTCAATCAAGTGAAGAGTTTGGTCAGCGAGTTTGAAACCACGGCTTTTCATAAATATGAGAAGCACTAAGGCAGTAGCTGGGGCTGAAATGAGTCTCAAAATGAAAAGTCTATGGGTGGTACATGTAGAGGTCTTAGCTTCCATGCGTAACGGGGCCCACTTAAATGAGTGGTCCATTTCTTCCCAGAAGACTACTGGGAAGTATCCCGCAAAACCAGTGGCTCTTCTATCTCCCAGTACAGTAAGTAGGAGCATCCATCTTGTCTTCTCCTTCTGTCACTGGGTCTAGCAGAAAATAGGACGTTTACAGGCTAATCCAATGAAGGAGAGGGAATTCAGAGCCCTGTCCACTAGTCTTAAGTCTGCACTGACTTCCTAATGAAATTTGTCAAGTTCCTGTTTCTTCCTGATCCTATCATGAATTAAAGCAAGTGATTCTTCATGTCTCTTGTCATTACAAAGAGTGTTACAATAGTTTTTCCAAGCCAGAATGGAAAGGCTCAAGCAGTAGGAACACATAAGTGAAAGAACACAGGTTTTAGAAATCCGCCTAGATTTTACTTCTATTGCTAAATCAAAGGTCAGTGGTTTGAACCCATCAATGGTTCGAGGAGGAAAGATGAAAACAGTATTCTCCCATTAACGACAGGCTTGGAAACCCAACGGAGGGTCCCCATGAGCTGGAATCGACTTGATAGTCCTGAGTTTGGGGTTTGGTTTTGTCACTTTTATGGTATTATGACCATGGGTATACCTTATTTCATCCCCAGGTATAAAATGGGAAAATGAATCGCTACCTTCTTAGGTTTGTAAAGATTAAATAGAGAAATTAACATAACAATCCTAGCATATAACAGGCCACTAAAAAAAACTTAGTTCTATTCTTTCTTCCTCTAGAAAAAACACTGGGCCCTAAGTACTGGCCCTGGCTGGGCAGCCATGGTGCTCTTGACCACGCACCTGTTCAGCAGGCCGAGTTTCCTGCTGAGGCGGCTGTTTCTCATTGGAGTTGGCCTCAGGGTGGCCGTGGCCTGCAGGTGTCACAGGAGTGGTCACAGCAGCTGCTGCCTCAGGCTGCTGTGGGGCCTCCTCCTGAGCCTTCTTCACCTCAGAATCAGGGCCTGTCTCTGTTGTCATGGTGACCAGCACGCCTGCATTGGCATGAAGGAGAGAGCATGTAATAGGGAGAGTGACAGTGATGGCAGGACAGAGCAAAAGGGGCAGGAACCACATGCAGAGAGAGACAGATGGAAAGGAATGGACAAAGAACCACAGAGGAGAGGGAGGGAGAGAGAATAAGTAGGGATGAGGAGAGAGAGTCATGAGAAGAGGTTAGTGGCCTTTCTCCCACCCAGCATTCAGAGATTCCAATCGAGGTTCTTTCTAGGAATGATGAAAGTCTCTCTAGAAGCACACAGGGCAGCCTGTGACCATCACCAAGAAGAGCCCTCAATCAGCACCCAGCACAAAACAGGCCCTCAGCAAACAGTGGATAAAGTGAACTCAATCAGAGCCTTGGATTCCAGGACCTTCTGGCACTGAACTCAGACTATAGCCTCTTCATACCCCAGGCCTCAATCATTGCAGCCCTGCTGGCTTCACAGGGATGGTGTGAGGACGGCTCCAAGGGATAACAATGGCCAAGCACTTGATAAAACACACAGCCCTGATGAGATCAAAGTGAGAAGAACCAGTCTCAGGCTCACCTCAACTCTCTGGGACTGATCCAAAAAGTGAGGACTCAGAAATGAGCTCTGAGGTAAGCTCTTCTTATCATTTTCTCCTTGAAGGAGGAGATGAGGCAGATTTCAGAGAAAAGCACAGTGGAAATAAGCAAATTGCAGAAACAAAAGTGGGAAAGAAATAACAAGAAGAGAGCATGGTCTCATTTTTAAGATTTAAACTTTAACCACATCCCTTTGGGATTGTACACATGTAGTAAAAGATCGAAAAAAAGATATTCACCACACAGAGGTTAAGTCAGAATTGGATAAATGAATAAAGAAAATCTGTAGCAATGGAGAGGATAAGAGAAGGAACTTCACATACTTTGGAATTATACGTATGTGTGTGTGTGTGTGTGTGGGGTGTTGTTGTGTACAGGCGAGTCAAAACTGACCCATAGCTGACCCTCCAGCAGGTATTTTACAGGCAGTAAGCTGCACGAGAGACGACTGCCCATCTTTCACTCATGGAGCAGCTTGTAGACTCAAATTGTATAGCACTGCCTTGGAAATGTGAGCTCTGGTAACCTAAAGAGTACTGCTCTGGCAGTCTGAATCTACCATTGGCTCCATAGCAGAAAAATAGGCAATCTCCTCCAGTACGATTTACAACCCTGAAATCCACAGTCTCGGATAGAAGGTAGTTCCAACTCAGCGGCAAAGAGGATGATATTCTTAAATGCACAATTTAAAAAAAGATTGTGACAAAAGCAATTATCTCTGACAAAGTTAGTGCATACACATGGAATTCAGAGCTGAAACTAAAACAGAGAAATAGGCAGAAAGCTTCATCCTGAGTGTAAACTTTCTTCTACAGCTCTCAATAAATGAAAATGGGCCAGACTAGACTCAGGCAGGTCCATTTCTCTACCCTAGGAGGCCTCCAATGGGTAGCAGATAGGCAGATCCACCCTGGCCAGCCACGTGCTCCAAGCCCCCAGCTCCACACTTCCTTTTTTATTTTGTTTTGTTTTGTTTTAGGTCTCCTGACCTTGAAACGGGATTTATTGCCATTTTCTAGCATAGCTCTCTGTTGTCCTTCCACAAGAAGGAATATTATTTCTGACACCTTAGGTTCTCTGGGAAAGAGACCCAAACAAGGCAGGGAAAGGTCCACAATTCCTTTTATCTCCAGTTTCTCTCTCTAGATTTTACAGGGTGCAAGGTCAGCCCTGAGGAAAGGGTAGTGGATGGAAAGTCAGGGACCCTGAACACCCCACTCAACCATGTGGCAGCTCTGGAAACCCCAGAAATGTCACGATCATCCTTGAGCCCCAGTGAGTGGATAATGAGGACAGTGCTTCATAAACTGAAATTCAGTGCAAATGAGGGTTTGTTGGTACTGATGCTGCTCTGAAGAAGTAAGGTCAAGGGGAAGGCAAGGCCTTGGCCCAGACTGCCTCATCTCCATCCAGAAACGCTCCCCACACATGCAATCACCCTAGACTTTTCAGGTATAGCTTAAAGGTCTGGTTAATACATGCAGGCTTTCAATCAGTTACCTGACAGTAAGTGGCCACTGTGCCAAGACACAAAGCAACAAGAGCTGCTCAAAGGGAGCTCAGTAGGGGTCAAACCGAGACTGCATGGTTCAGGATCTTTTCTCGCCTGCACTTGAGGACCATTGGCCATTCATTATGCCAGATAAGGCCTACAGGCAAGGGCTCTTTAAACAAGGACCCTTAAAAAAATACCTACTTAATTCTTCCTTTTTTTTTAAAAAAAAAAAGGAGATGGAACCATAGATTAAATGGTACATCCTGTGCTGTGACAGCAAAGTCCAGAGGCTCCACATGGGCCCAGGCCACCTAGAGTCACAGGGGCTCGCCACATCTATTCCTCCTCTCTGTCTCAGTCAGCCTCGATCTTCTTTGAGCCCACACTCTCTGAGCCCTTCACAGGCTTCAGTCTTCTTGGAAGCAACCAGAAATGCAACCTTAAACACTCAACTTCTCCCCTTCTCAAATCATCAGTAGAGTCTGCTGGAATCAAATGCCTCCCACTTCTAGAAGCAGACATGACAGGAGCTGTAAGAGTCTTCTGAGATCATTAAAATCTACTCATTTTCTTTTCTTTTTTTAAATAATTTTAATGAGCATTTACAGAGATTTTGGATTTCCATTCATTCACTGCTGCACTTCCCTCCCCGCCCCAGCCCCCCCCCCACCCAGTTTGCTCCTCTCTTTCAAAAGTAAAAGAAACACTCCCTCCCTGGGACACAATCCCCCCACCCCAAGTACATTCCACTATGCAAGCTTAATCGTGGACTCTTGTGATAACCATAAAATGCTTTTAAATTATTCACTCCCTCAGCTGTTTCAGTGCAGTATACACAATTTATCCAGTTTTTCTGTCTTACTCCAACCCTGATACCAATCCCATTTTCCAACAGTGGCACCATGCAGTCCTTTTGTGACTGTGACTGAGATATTTCACTCAGCATAATGTCCTCCAGGCTCACCCATTTTGAATAATATTGCATGAGTTCCTTGTTTTTCAATGCAGCATAGTATTCCATTGTGTGAATATACCACAGCTTCTCTATCCATTCGTTTGTTGATGGGCACCTGGGTTGTTTCCAACTCCTTGCTATTGTGAACAGAGCAGGGATAAACATGGGTGTGACTCATTTTCTTTTATAGCGGAGAATCAAAGTGCAACAGAGAGAGCCATTTTCTCAGACAGGTCATCCTAGGTTCCATTTAGCCCCTCTTGCCCCACCCAGTCTCTTGGCTTCTCAGATCCTATCTTCAGATCCATTATTCTTCCCACTGCACTTTGCTGCTTCAAGTAAACCCAAGCCAAATCTCCTCACAGGAGAAAGCACTAAGGTGAGGCTAGAATTCCTAAGCCACCAGAGAACCAATGACCAGGTGTTAGTCAAATCTAGAGTTCATCAACTCTAGATGGAATTAGCAAAAATAAAAAAAAAGAAACTATAAAAGTAGGAAACATCTGCAATCTGAATGAAAGACACATAATACAAAATGATCAACATACACCACAGAAACAAAAAATTCAGTAAAGTGTCAACTTTACTGGATGGCAGGAGAACAGGTTGTTATTTCTTTTTAGCTGTAATTCTTTATATTTCTACTATGCTAATAGATTCCTTGAATGATTGAAATCTAGAGGCTCAAAAATAATTTTTATGAACTAAAAAAAGTGACCATTTTTAAAATCTTTGATAAAAATGCCTCCTTTACCAAAATAACTGTGAGTTATCATCTTACCCTAGCAAGAATAGCAAAATTCAACAGAGCAGCAAA